CCCCAAAACCCCAAAACCCCAAAACCCCAAAACCCCGAGATTTAACATAAATTTTGAAATATACCAACAAACGAAAGATGAAGAAGGTTGAGTTTGATTAATAACTTATAGATGGAAATCATCAGGATCAGAGCCAACTCTATAAATGCCTCAAAGAGATATCGTAGTAATAGGAATAGACTTCAGACTATGCGGAAGGAGTACAATTTTTAACAAATTATAGCTCATTAAATAATACCGAAAAGAGCTCTGAGATAATTCCTAACTTTGGTATTTTGAGTGACTTATAATAGGCCCAAGATTTTTACAGAACATGTATAATGCTGATGCTGCCAAAGATGATAGTGATGACTATCCGTTTTCAAAGTACAGCACTAACAGATATGTAAACTTTCCAATAACTTCCAGGAGCAAGTGGTAAGACCTCAGGACAACATAAGTGAAAGAAATTTGGTCAGAAGAGTTATTTTGAAAAATACTTCACTAGAGAATTCAACCAGTAAGAAAATTGTTTAAATTTAAGATGAGAAGCTTACTGTCGGTAGCTCTTTGTACCAGAACAAGGAGATAGCTGAGGATAATCCAACGATCAGACTTCACAAGATGATTCTGTGTAAATAAACTTGAATCTAAATAAAAAATCAGAGAAAATGGAAAAACTTGAACCATATTTTAAATAGAGTAAGAACTCTAATATTTCTTAATTATCTCTAAAGACACCTTTTATGGAGCCTTGAAAATCCAAGGATTGTCGGCCACAGTCAACACTTCCAGAGAACTCATTCTTAAGAGGTTATCAAAATTATAAATATCTAGAAATGAGAGAGAATGGGAGTCAAGAAATGCCCTCAATCAAGGAGAGACTCAAGCCATCAACATCTCAAGTATTTACTCTTTAATAGTTATATAGAATAATCACCAAAGATATGTCAGAAGTTATGTAGATGGCAAATTTAGCTTCAAAAGACAAAACTTGTTAAAGACCAAAGGACTGCTCCAGAAATTGAAGATTTGTATACAAGATATCTTATTTATAGCCCATATTGACCCATCGAAGATACAACCCGTAAGGTCTGATTTGAGTAGAGAGAACACTTGTAGAACAGTTAGAAGAACTATAAGCCAAAATCGAGATATAAAATCCCCATATGCTGAAATTCGAACAAAAATACTTTTACCAAAATAGTTCAAACAAGATTACACTTAAATCCTCAACTAAAGGTTTCAAGAACTCTTTTTGAGATATTTCTTCAATATCTCCTACACCAGACCCAAGTAGGAAGTCTCCTAGCTGCTCTCTGAGCCTAAAATCAACTCTAAAACCCAAAAAACTGAGTAAAACCCACAAAAACTTCCCTTCAGTCACCAGGCTCCCTGAATCCCTCAAATTCCCCAAAGAGGTACTCCTCCCTCATCCTACCCCTAAACCCCACTCAACGATCCACTCTCCAAGATCTCTGACCAAAGTAACCCAATCTCCAACTCACCTCCAGTAGAAACCCCAAAACAAAGTTAATTTCCAAGCCAAATCCTATTAGAACAAAATGATTCCTTCAATTTTAATTTAACTTGTAGGGGTTTTGGGGTTTTGGGGTTTTGGGGTTTTGGGG